GCCAATTTGGGTTTTGGCCCATGTGTTGAAGCCTCTCTGTCCGCAAAACATTGCTCAGATATGCCATTTCCCGAAGGGGCCTCGGACTTGAGCCGCTTTAAGTTTCGCCGCGGGATCAAGTTTCGTCAAGAAAAGGTTTGGACTAGGTACGGCTCTTGCAACCATTTGAAGCATGGCTTTCTTTTTCAACACCAAAATACCATGTACAAATTGCAATGTTCAGGTGTATAATGAAAGGATCCCTGATGGATTGGACTGTTGGTTCGTGTTTGGCAACTGGAATGCACCCAAAACCCTTCTGAAGGCGCCATGAGGGTGCATGTTTACTTGCCCAGTGGAGCTGGTTTTTCCACAGAACTCTTGCCAGCTACGCCCATCAGCGTGCTGAAGGCTGCAGCGCAGCAGCATTTCCAGCGCCGCTTGAAGCTCACTGCGAAAGGCCGGCAGCTCGATTTGACGGCCACGCTGGGTGAGGCCGGGTTGCGAGATGAGGATGTGGTGGTAGCCGTTGCGCAACTTGGCGGATTGGCTGCCACTCGCAAGGCATTTGCTTTGTGTGGTCACGGAGACGAGGTTGTGACCTCGGGTAGCCCAGAATCTGGGGGAGACAGCAGCCAGGTGCAAGATCAACTGAGACACGTGCATCACATCCAAGCAGCCGAGCATGCTTTTGCGGCCATCCTTGAATCTGGGGCTGTTGTGACCTGGGGTAATCCACAATGGGGCGGAGACGGCAGCCGGGTGCAAGAGCAGCTGAGGAACGTCCAGCACGTCCAAGCAACTGCCCGTGCTTTTGCTGCCATTCTTGAATCTGGGGCTGTTGTGACCTGGGGTCATCCACAGTTCGGCGGAGACAGCAACCAGGTGCAAGAGCAGCTGAGGAACGTCCGGCACGTCCAAGCAACTTACAAAGCTTTTGCTGCCATACTTGAATCTGGGGCTGTTGTGACCTGGGGTTGTGCAGATTTCGGCGGAGACAGCAGCCAGGTGCAAGAGCAGCTGAGGAACGTCAAGAACATCCAAGCAACTGAAAGTGCTTTTGCTGCCATACTTGAATCTGGGGCTGTTGTGACCTGGGGTGAGCCACACTTCGGCGGAGACAGCAACCAGGTGCAAGAGCAGCTGAGGAACGTCCAGCACGTCCAAGCAACTGCCCGTGCTTTTGCTGCCATTCTTGAATCTGGGGCTGTTGTGACCTGGGGTAATCCACAGTTCGGCGGAGACAGCAGTCAGGTGCAAGAGCAGCTGAGGAACGTCCAGCACATCCAAGCAGCCGAGCATGCTTTTGCAGCCATCCTTGAATCTGGGGCTGTTGTGACCTGGGGCTATCCACAGGGGGGCGGAGACAGCAACCAGGTGCAAGAGCAGCTGAGGAACGTCCGGCACGTCCAAGCAACTGCCCGTGCTTTTGCTGCCATTCTTGAATCTGGGGCTGTTGTGACCTGGGGCGATCCAAACTGGGGCGGAGACAGCAGACAGGTACAAGAGCAGTTGAGGAACGTCCAGCACATCCAAGCAACTGAAACTGCCTTTGCTGCCATTCTTGAATCTGGGGCTGTTGTGACCTGGGGTCATTCAGCATACGGCGGAGACAGCAACCAGGTGCAAGAGCAGCTGAGGAACGTCCAGCACGTCCACGCAACTGCCTGTGCTTTTGCTGCCATACTTGAATCTGGGGCTGTTGTGACCTGGGGTCATCCAGAATTTGGTGCAAGAGCAGCTGAGGAACGTCCAAGCAACCGCCGGCGCTTTTGCTCCCATCCTTGAATCTGGAGCTGCTGTTGTGACCTGCGGTGTGTTGTAAAACGGCGTCCAGCCAATCTGGAGCACATGAATGAAAGAAAAGAACAATCCAAGGCACGTTTCCATTGACGCTTGGCAACAGCGTGTCTGGCTGTGTCTGATTTGTAACCCCCCCCTCCAAACAAATGGCATCGGTTTTCGTTTTGGTTTCCCTTTCACGGCCACTGAAAACGGGCACCGAGCCTCAAACAAACCATGCCAACACAAACCCGATCCACCAACTGTCTCACATCACACTACTAGTCTCCAGGTCATAAAGACTAGGTCATGGGTGGAGACTACCAAGCAAGCACCTGCAAAGACCTTCAATGGGAGTTCTCTGGCACACGCCGGCTTGCTTTTTCAAGACCAAGGGCAAATCTGTATCAGAGAGGGGTGGGGGTCAGGCCAAGTTTTTAACAGAATCGTTTTTCCCCATACTTGGCCCGGCCTGGTAGCCGGCGAAGATGTCGTCGGGGAGGCCCCGGTGCGTGTCAAAAAAAACCAACACCTTATATCACCTAGCAGCACCTAATGAGGTCTGAGGCTCAAATCAATCCCCTCGTTGGGTGAAACTCTGCAAGCTCCGGAGGCCTTTCTGCCGGGGGCGCTCCCGCATTTGGGCATGCCACCAGGCGGGACGCCTGGTGGGACGAGTCTTTGGCTAGGCATGGTTGGTCTTTTTTTCGTGGATACAAATGTTGGATGCTTTTTCAGAGAAACTAAAAGGACACCACCCATTTTACGGATTTCTCTACTTTGAGACAAGCCCAATTGTTACCCCCCAAAAAAAGTGTTGAGAGCGTAGAGGGCAACCACCGACTTTCTCAATTGGACAAGATTGGGTGACCCTTCCCGTTATTTTTTGGGTCACGATATCAGCCAGGAGTTTAGCTGAACTGCTTACTTGTTTTTTCATCAGCGGATGGATAATTTCCTGCACCAGTTGGCGGTTTATCCCAGTCATCGGCGCGAAGTGGATCTGTCCATGGATGGCGAACACTTTAGGCCTTGCCAGGCCAGCAACTTGGAGACGTGAGGCTATGCAGCTGGTTGCTTCACAACGACCTCCGTCTCCAAGCATTGTTCATCAAAAAGGAAGGCCGGTTGAAGAGAATGCCTGGACTGCGATTGCCGGATTTGCTGATTTCCACAGAGAATCCAACCAGTTACTGAGAACTTCGGATTCATCTGGACCATACTAGTTACTCATCAGGCGTGGGTGGAGGAGTTCCCCAGTTGAAACCGGATTGATCTGAAGTCGACACGTGAACTTCAGAGAAGTGCCAGCAAAACTGGGTGGTCCCCATTTTCCAGGAAAATGATCTATCCTAGGTTCCAGAGTTCATCATCCGCACCAGAAACCTTCCGACGGGGTTTTAGAGACCTTGGTTATGGGTTTGGACCTCTTTGGGCCCACAACCCGCAGCCGCCTCAGCCGCGGTTTCGGATTTCCAGGCCCGTGGCCCTACCCCTTGCCCTATGGGATGGATCCGGCGGGTGCCATGGCCCACGCTGCAGGCGCGACGCGACTGAGCGCTCGCAGGGGTGGATTCCCCGGCCGGCAAATCAGCTTCATTTTCTTTTCAAGTATTCCAGGATTTCCGAAGTTTTTTTATTCTTTGCGTGGGAAATCAACTTCTTCCTTTTTTGTGCTCAAGTATTCCAGGACTTGATTTCTGAATGCTTTCCATTCTGTTCAATTTGCGTGTTCCCTCATGTTTTTTGAAGGTTTTCTAGAACCAGGGATGCCTGAAAAAGGTATGGGTGAGATGCGATCAGACCAGAAAGCAATGAGCGGGAGTGGTGGCTTTTCTGCAGTTTTTGCGGTGACCCGTTTGCAAAGGGCCAAGGATGATTCTGAAGCAAATGCAATGTGGGCAATCCCAGGCACACGCCATGGATGTGAGCAAGCTGATCCTGTGTGTCTGTGCGTGGTTTGGTTTGAAGGACCCCCCCGCCCCCCAGGTTCCTCACAAAAACCAGAGGGCCGGAGCCACCGGTCTGCGCTGAGACTCAGCATTGTCCGACGGAGCACAGGTCGAACTGTGTAAGTTTGTTTTTTTGAGGGAACCTCGTTTAGGTTGGTTTAAGGGGAAACCACACGCCAAGCCTCTTTGGGTACATGGTTTTTAGGGGTCCCCCTTTTTTGGCACACACACACACACCCATTTGGGAGGATTCTGCATTTTGCGGACAGGAGGAGTATTGGGACTGAAGGGTTGGACACTTTTTGTGTGCCAAATATGCCTCAAAGAACGATAATGTTGGGATTCGAAGGCAATGCAGTTGATGTCTGGCAGGTGATACCCAGACTCGCCTATTTCCGTGGAATGCAATGCTTCCAACGGAAAGCAGCCCTTGCCCTTGACAGGTGTTGGCGTTGGGGGCCCCGAGCAGGGGGGGGAGGCTTCGCTCGACTAGGGAGTAAAGGCGCAGGGAAGATCATGGTCACTGGTGTATAACAGGTTAATAGCATCAACAGCATTTATTCTTAGTCAGTGGACTGCTATGGATCCAATGACTCATGACTCACAAGTGCTTGGCCCTGAGCCCAGCATAGCCCAGGTGAAACCACGCAGCCCAAGAGGTTTTCATGTTCCTTTGGCTCAAAGGGGCTCCCTTTGACTCATGAAGACGTGGTGTTAGATTCAATGCCTCTGCGATCTGAGTCGCCTCAAAAGGGAAGCCGCCGCTCGGCGATGATTCGATGATTTGGCAAGCCCAGCAAACTTGGCCCTGCATGCCAGCGGAAAATTTCGCGCTCTGGGGCCACTTTCCGCGATGCCAACGGAGCCGCTTTTCCATGGGAACTCCACAGCCGCCAACCTCCCCCCCCCCCCCTTTCCCGGCTGGTTTTGCGAATTTGACGTCTGCTTGACGTAGGCGGGAGGCTATTGCGTGCAGGATGGAATCTCTATATATATATATACATATATATATACATATATATATATATATATATATATATATTTGAGAGTTCTTCCAGACGTTTGTCCACTTTCGCTCTGTTGCCGCATTTGGCTGCCAAGCTTCAAGAGAGAACCAAAGGTCACATGACAAAGTAAAGGAAAAGCTTTGAGCCTGACCTGTGGTTTCGAGGTAGGGTTCGGAAAGAACCAGTGGATCCTGGGTCAACCATTGGCTCCACGACATTGGGTCGCACAAATCTTTGTGCACGGTGCCCACCCCGAAACGTTTCAAACTCGCTCGGGGCAATGGCTGACTCGTGCTTTGCAGAGTCCTACGAGGAGGCCGGGAGCTTGAGGAATCCACTTCGCAGCAGTTGCCCTGGACAACCGCCTACCAAGGTTCCTGAGCAGGCTCGCACTCGTCCCCCTCCATAGATCCATGACTGAGCTCGCTCTGCCCGCGATCCATGTTCTCTTGGGGCGCCGTGCTTGTGTGTTGCCAGGGTGTGGCGTTTTTTGGGGGCACCCCCAAACTGGGTTTCCTGTTGGTTTCCCTTAAGCCACAAGGGGGGTATCTTCCAAGAAAAGACGAGCCACGTCTTTTGTTGCCCTTTTCGAGGCGCGGGGGAAGTTCCTGGCGGCGGCGGCGGAGGCGGGGGCGGAGGTGGTGACGCTGCCAGTGACGGAGGATGCGGAGGGGAAGCGGCTCGGCATCAAAAAAAACTGTATGAAACGTCGGGTTTTTTCGGGGAGGGGTGATTTCCGCACAGCTGTTCAAGCATCACCTCAGGTAGCGAAACCAACTTGCTTTTGAAACAGTGGTCCATAGTTCATAGTCCCATGCTCACCGGATCCCTTCAACGAACCATATGATGCGACCCGGATTATTCAACCAGTTTTTTTTTGGGGGGGCATGTGTGTGTGTGTGTGTGTGTGTGTGTGTGTGTGTGTGTGTGTGTGTGTGTGTGTGTGTGTGTGTCTGTGTGTCTGTGTCTGTGTCTGTGTCTGTGTCTGTGTCTGTGTCTGTGTCTGTGTCTGTGTCTGTGTCTGTGTCTGTGTCTGTGTCTGTGTCTGTGTCTGTGTCTGTGTCTGTGTCTGTGTCTGTGTCTGTGTCTGTGTCTGTGTCTGTGTCTGTGTCTGTGTCTGTGTCTGTGTCTGTGTCTGTGTCTGTGTCTGTGTCTGTGTCTGTGTCTGTGTCTGTGTCTGTGTCTCTGTGTCTGTGTCTGTGTCTGTGTCTGTGTCTGTGTCTGTGTCTGTGTCTGTGTCTGTGTCTGTGTCTGTGTCTGTGTCTGTGTCTGTGTCTGTGTCTGTGTCTGTGTCTGTGTCTGTGTCTGTGTCTGTGTCTGTGTCTGTGTCTGTGTCTGTGTCTGTGTCTGTGTCTGTGTCTGTGTCTGTGTCTGTGTCTGTGTCTGTGTCTGTGTCTGTGTCTGTGTCTGTGTCTGTGTCTGTGTCTGTGTCTGTGTCTGTGTCTGTGTCTGTGTCTGTGTCTGTGTCTGTGTCTGTGTCTGTGTCTGTGTCTGTGTGTGTCTGTGTCTGTGTCTGTGTCTGTGTCTGTGTCTGTGTCTGTGTCTGTGTCTGTGTCTGTGTCTGTGTCTGTGTCTGTGTCTGTGTCTGTGTCTGTGTCTGTGTCTGTGTCTGTGTCTGTGTCTGTGTCTGTGTCTGTGTCTGTGTCTGTGTCTGTGTCTGTGTCTGTGTCTGTGTCTGTGTCTGTGTCTGTGTCTGTGTCTGTGTCTGTGTCTGTGTCTGTGTCTGTGTCTGTGTCTGTGTCTGTGTCTGTGTGTCTGTGTCTGTGTGTGTCTGTGTGTGTGTGTGTGTGTCTGTGTGTGTGTGTGTGTGTGTGTGTGTGTGTGTGTGTGTCTGTGTGTGTGTGTGTGTGTGTGTGTGTGTGTGTGTGTGTGTGTGTGTGTGTGTGTGTGTGTGTGTGTGTGTGTGTGTGTGTGTGTGTGTGTGTGTGTGTGTGTGTGTGTGTGTGTGTGTCTGTGTGTGTGTGTGTGCGTGCGTGCGTGCGTGCGTGCGTGCGTGCGTGCGTGCGTGTGTGAAGGTTTCTCTCCAAATGCCCCCCCCCCCCTTTTTGCAGCCAGGACCTGCGTTGTTCGGTTTTACAAAGCGCGTCTTTGGGAGAAAGCATCTCCCGAGGTATTTCATGGACATCGCAGTCCTGACTCCGTCGCCCTCCAGCACGCCGACGGCGCTGGCGGTGGTTTCGAGCGGCACCCATGGGGTGGAGGGCTACGCGGGCAGCGCCATACAGATCGATCTGCTGCGGAGGTGGAAGGCAGCCGGGGGGGGGGAGGGGGAGAGGGGGGGATTGGCCCTTGGTGTGTCCAAATGAGTCTTGGACACCGCCAAAAATTGGTGCTTGCCCTTGCTGTCAAGAAGGGTGTACATTGCTATATACTTGCAGGCTTGGAGGAACGTACTTTTTGTCCTTGCACGGTTTTACGGACTTATCCGAATCGCTCGCGAGCAATGGGCAAGGCAGTTGTCAGGTTTCCTCTATGCGACTGTCAATCAAAACGATGGGGGCAAAGCGAATTGACCCCTTTCGAGACGTTTCAGTTTGTGCCGCCTTCAAAACCGGATCTCAAGAGTTGCCTTTTCGACCATTTCGTGTGTCGAAACAGCGAAAAGGATCCCTCAGTTTTCCTGGCCAAGCAGACCCTCCGCACTGGGAAGAACGGCGGCTGTCAGCACAAGGCTTCTTTCAATCTGCCATGTTGCGCCTTGCAAAGAATGGCCATGCAAACCCTGAAAACGATGAAAGGCGCGTTTTGATTCCGGAATTGGTTGGGCGTTCTTCAGGGGTCCATACAAATTGTCCACCTTGTTTGGACACAAAGTGGCAGTTTCAGTGGAACCGACCAGCTTATGTTGCAACATTTGAAGGAGAATCCAGCGCCCGGCTTTTGTCCAGTTTCACTGCATTTTCGTTCGGCTTAGGCCGGCGGATGCGTGCCTAGCCACGTGACCACTGTCCTGGTCCACGCCGTGACGCATGCCGATATGTGGAATGGAATGTGTATGACGTATGAGTTTCCCTTCAAAGGGAGCATTCCGTTGGTATCCCATTAGCACTCCCCAGTTTTGAGGGTTTCCCGTCTCGGGTGCCACCAAATCTCGCAAGTTTGAAACAAGCAGCAGTCCGATGGTGGACACGTGGCTTGTTAGCATTTCTTGCGATGCTTACAACTGGAAGCGAGATGAACGCCCTTTTCTAGCAGTTGTTTGATTGAATGCATGTTACATTTTAAGATTCATGAACTATGGGCCAGAAGTAATCGTATGATTTTTTTGGCTGGGGGCAAAAGCTGGGGAAGCATTGGTTTCAACACGATTGTCAGCACTGGTGACTCCTTGGATGGTGTTTAAGGGGATGCCAGCCAACAGGGGGCGGGATGGTTCGAATGTTTCATCTGATGGGGCCTTCTTTGAAGTGAGTTTGCGTGTGGGAGTGATGTATCATGGGGACATACAGGGGACCCTAACCAAGGAACCCCTACGGCATGGCGCACTTCCGGCGCTTCAACGAGAACAATGTGGAGCGGGTCCCCAGGGAAGGGGAAGGCGATGGATCCAGCGAGCTTACACCCCAGCTGATTGCCATTCCCTTATTTGTTGGGGACTTTGAATTTCAAGGGAAGTTCTTGTCCAACCCTCTGGCCTGGAAGGGCGACTGTAGCCTGTTGCAGTGGATTCCCCATATTAATACGGGGACATATGTGGGATGTTTTGTTTTTTGTTTTTTTCTTTTTCCCCATTGTAGCCTTTTGTAGTTGGTTTGCAGGGAGACCAAAAGGGAAGCCCGCCTTATTTGTGGGTATGCCCTGTTTTGACCCATGCCTGCTCCTGAGGACCTGAATAGAAACTGCCTGCAGCCTGACCAGTTCGAGAAGCTGAAGGAGGACCGCATCGCGAGCATCTACGGGTCCTTCGACCCCCTCTTCAACCCCACGGAGGAGCCGGGCGTCTTCTACCGCAACGTAGGCGGGATTGGACCGAGGGAGGAGACGAGGGCGCAGGGAGAATGGGGTGTGAGGCGAATTGACGAAAGAATGGTGTGGGAGGGTATGGGAGGAGTGCAAGAGGAGTGCGAAAAGGCCAAAGCCAAATGTGGATTCGACTTGCTGGCTGAAGCAAGAGAGTGGGAAGGGTGAAAATCTGATTGTATGTGGGTGCCCGTTAAGTCAGATTGGTCGAACATGGATGAGATGCGCTAGTTTGGTTCTAATCATTTGCCGGTGAATCTTTCTTTCCGCAAGGACAGCGATCAGGGTGTGGCGCCTTGCGAGTCGCCTAGAGCGTATGTGTGAAAAGGGGGCACCCTCAAGAATTTGTTGGTCTCCTTTTTACTCTCACTCATTTCCTGAATTCGTTGACTTTAAACCCTTTGGGAAGACCAGGTTGGGGGTAAAGATTAAGTTTGGACTTTGACTCAGAAAGTGAGTTTGGTTTCCCTTGCAAACTTCCTGAGAAAGGCGCGCAAACAAAAAACAAATTTGGGAGGTGTGTGGTTCCGGATGGCCTACTACGTGGCCAGCTACGGCATCGGCTACATCAAGACGGCCATGGTGGCTGCGACCTACTCCCAGGAGAAGGGCGCCTCGGATTTGTGTTTTTCTTGGTGATTCTCAGTAGCATAGGTGTCCCTTTTGGGTTGGTTTGGTTGAACAGAGATGGCGACTCCTGGCTTGCCTGGTGGTTCATTCATCTAGGGCCACGGGCCACTTGTTTCCATGCAAACCGAAAAGCACCTACGCTCGGGGGTTTGGGAACTCTCCGTTTGGGATCCCAAGCAAACCACTCCTCAACTCCTCACTCCCTGCCAATCGAACCTTCTTTTGGCCGCCCCTTCATCGCGTAGAATTTTCCGAGGCACTCGGGTTGCAAACATGAAAGCGCAAAGACTTCTTGGGAAAGGCGGCTGTGCGCGGGACACCATGTTTGCAGGGCACCTTTCCCTGCCAACTTGCCCGAAGCCTTCGGTGATTGACGACGGCCCGATGGGCGATGGGAACCTATATATCTTTGCAGCCGGTCACCTGTCTAACGCGACTTTTGACCGGGCCGCATGCTTTTTTTCTTTTTTGTCCTGGTGGCTGCTGGCTCGGATCAAACGGATTAAAAAAAAGCAGCATCCGATTGCTTGCACTACAGGGACAATCATTTGTGTGTTTCGCGTCCGAAAGGAACCGATTTGTGATCCTTCTATACGGTTCTTACCTGCAAGGTGACTTGGAGAAGGGAGCTGTAGCCCATGGGTTTGAGAGACACCTGCGTCCGCCCCTTCGGTAAATGACAGTTTTTGGACGCGAGCTTGCACAATAAACAAGCTCTTGGAACAGGGCAAAGCGCCGTGTCAGTCCCTATTGGCTCTTTTTTAGCTTACAGTTTCTGGAGCCTTCCCATTGGCGATCGGGCCTCCCATGACTTGGGCCCAAAGCAAGTCAGCCAATGCGCACAGAGCTCTCCGGACCCGGGCCCGGAGGCATCTTCTACGGGGGCAAGAAGCTGGAGAAGTCTCATGTGCTCCTCCGGGACTTCTTTCAGCGCTTCGCAGAGGCGCGTACGGGCCGGTCGGCGCGCCAGAAGTTTGCGTCTCCGCTTTCTAGCCTTGGGCTTGGGTTTTTCTTCAGCTTCCGAGCAAATGTGTTGTTTTCTTGGTTTTTCATCGGTTTCTTTCTGGGTTTCGATCCCTTCACATGGGATTCAATGGGGATGTTGAAGCCCTTTGAATGAGGGCGTTTGTTTTTAGGGCATCCTTTTTTGGATGGTACTTAAAGGGAAACCAAAAGGAACACCGCCCATGTTTGGGGCCCTATTTTGAGAAATACCTGTTAGTCGTCTCCCCGTTCTTTGCACCATCGTCCTTTAAAAAACCAGCTGATGTCTTGTTTTTGAAAGAAGGATCCCCACGAACAGGAAGGTCGCGGCCCAGTCCCGAGCGCGGGTCGAAGCTCGGAGGTGGAAGCGCGGAAGGTGGCGTGGGTGGATGTGCACACGGGACTGGGGCCAACAGGCGCGGGAAGAAAAGGAGTGATTTGCAAAGCTCCGGCGTCTCCGAAACGTTTTTTACATTTTGGGGCAGACTATACCCTCAGGCCATTCCATGGAAGCTCTTCCAGGATCCGTTTGGAATGATTCACAGAGGCCTTTTGGGAGCTTCCATGTTAGTCTGAGGGAGTGTAAATATGAACCAGAGTGAGCAAACATATGTTTGGAGTACCGCAGATGTTCGCCAAGATATGGGTATGTAGCAAAATAGGGATTCGGACCCTAAAGAGTTTTCCTTTTAGTTTCCCTTGAAGGGGAACCCTGAGAAAACCACCTTTGCTCCGATCTTTGTTAGTTTGAGACCAACCCATCTGGAGGTTGCATCTAAACAGGGACACTTCGGACGGTGTTCAAAAGGAATCCGAAAGGCTGGAAACCAACCGTTTTCGGTGGTCGACAGTTTTGGGACACAGATGAATGAAAGCATATGGGCTGGCCCTCCGCGCAAAGTTGGTTCGCAATTTGTCCATCAAAGTGGGCGGTTTTGTGGAAATGGAGAAGGCTACTGGCTTTCTCGATGCTGGCGCGAGGCAAAATCGTGGCAAACGCTTCACAGTCCCACACATTATGACAAAGAACCTTCTGCGAGCTTGGGGGCCAAACAAAATATCAAGTTTCAGGGTGTATCACATGCCAGATACGATACGATTTGATCCTATCCGATACAGTGTGAATATGATATGATCTGGTATGGTGTAATATGAGATGATATCATGTGATATGCTGTACTTTGCCATGACATGCTAACACCGTGCCACATGCCATGACATGAAGGCATGTGCGCATGTTTTGCATTGCATATGTATATACATTATATATATATATATTGACATAACTGGATACATACAGACAAGCATGTTTATGCGCATGCACACTGCTTACATATATATATATATATGGTCACGAGCATATACATATATATATATATAGATAAGTACACGTTTGCATCCCATCCCAGCTGGATGTGGCACCCAGGGAGCCGGACGGTGCATGTTTGGGATTGTTTGGTTACAATCTAAGCCATTTGATATACAGCTTTTGGAATGTCGCTTCACAGCGAATCGGACGAAGATTCTGTGGTCAGCTAGGGAGCCCTCCTGTTTGGAGTTGGTGTCGCGTCCTGACAGAATGAGACCACAAAGCATTCCTAGGTTACCCATACACCCACACAAAGACATACATACACACACACATACATACACGGACACACACACACACACACACCCACCCACCCACCCACCCACCCACCCACGCCCGCCCGCCCGCACGCCCGCACGCACGCACGCACGCACCCACCCACCCACCCACACCCACCCACGCACGCCCGCCCGCCCGCCCGCCCGCCCGCCCGCCCGCACGTAGCACGCACGCACGCACGCATTCACGCACGCACCCACCCACCCACCCACACCCACCCACCCACGCACGCACGCACGCACGCCCGCCCGCCCGCACGCACGCACGCACGCACGCACGCACGCACGCCCGCCCGCCCGCCCGCCCGCCCGCCCGCCCGCACGCACGCACGCACGCACGCACGCACGCAGAGGGACCATTCGCACCCTCAGCGGTTTCCGTGTCAGGTGTCGACGTGTTGCTGGGCAGCGGCAAGGACTATCCCAAGCTGCAGGACGGGATGACGCAAGTTTTCAACCCGAGGATTTCAAAGGTCCATGAGGGTAGGTGTCAAATCACGGGACCCCACGAAAGGTGGTTCTCCTCTTGGTTTCCCTAGGAACAAACATTTAAAGCGCACCATGTACTTGAATGTGATGGCGTTGAGCCGGTTTGCGGGATTCCTCGCTTAAATGGTACAGATGAATTGACAGGGACCTGTTCCGTTTTGACGCATGGCGAAGTTGTTGCACGCACACAGGCCCACCCTCACACACACACATACAACGCAGGCCTCCTCTGAGTGGATGGATGAGCACACATGGTTGGTGGGTGGTGGGTGGGTGAGGAGAGGTGGGTTCCCACCTTTGACTCCCTAAATGGCTTTGGAGACTAGCCCCAAAAAGGTACCCACCCAGACCCGCTTGTTTCTGGTCACTATCCGCAAGTTCAAACAGCTGAGTTGCGGCGTTTCATCGCAGCTGGATAGCTTGAGTTCTCAATGGTGGTCAGAAGCTCCATCCATTTCGCACCGTTTGTGGAAATTGAAAACACATGTTTCGCTCCTGTCTCAAACAAACCGTTTCTGTTTCCTGTATGAGCACATGTTGTTCGTTTTTTCATGGCGGCACCAGCCCCGTCCGTCATCAGCTGGAGGAGAATCTAGTCTTCCGAGCTTCCCTGCAGCTTCTTTTGCTCGTCAGGCGTCCCCCCAAGGCTTGGTTTGATTCAAGTCCGGAGCCTAGGTGTCCTTTTTGGGTTGAGGTCGAAAATAGACCCTGGAAGATTGAACCACCAGCCAAAGCAGGAATCACCATCTATTTTCCGCCTAACCAAAAAGACAACACCAAGTGTGGATGGATGAAACCCGATTTGAATCCTGGTTGATATACCAATATGAGAACCACCTACCCAACTGGTGCCTGAAGCGGATCTGGTGCACATGGCCAGGAGCTGTTCCCGAAGATTGCGGGGGAGTCTGACGGCCCTCAGAACTCCTTCGGCCTCACAGTGGATGAGGTTTGGGGCAGCTTTGAGGGAGGGTTCAGAAGCAGCGTTCCAGCGGGCTCCGGGGCTGTTGGGGATACCACCTGTTTTTTTTTTTTTTTTGAATTATGGGCTTGAACTTTCTGAGTGCGTCCAAGACGGATTTGTTCATTAGCCTCGACTTGGCAAATGGGAGGCGCGTCATCATTTCGAAGGTTTCATCCCTCAATGTTTTCATGCGAAGGAGGGCCAAAAGGCAAACCTTGGGAACGGGCTGCAGTTGCAGCAAGTTCAGAGTCGAAGCAGGATCCCCCCCAAAACTCCAGGGGCCCATAGACACTCTACTGGCTTTTTGCGCCCCAAACCCCGGACAAATGTCCCAAGTGAAGAGCCCCAAGCCCTAGACAAATGTCCTGTCGTGGAAGTGAGGCACCCCCCTCTTTCTCGTTGGCGAGAAATCGGCCAACCTCTTCGCCAGGTGCTGAAACGGCGCTGCGGGGAAGGCGCCGAGCTCGAAATGAACGGCGCCCACTTCAGCGCCTCCCAGTCCGCGGGCTACGAGTTCTCCGCTTCCGAGCCGAGCAAACAGCGGCGGGGCGGGTGTCCGGGGGGGTTCTCCGGGCCTTTTGAGGGGGGGGGGGCAAAAAAACTCGTTTGTGGGGGGTTTCAAATGGAAAGGTCCCATTGCTGGTGCAGGCGGGTGAAAGGGAACGTTCACGTTTTGAAACTTTTAAAAGCATCACTGCCAAGTTAAACTTGTCTTCCCTCGCGTTGTGATGTTTAGGGGCCCATGCATGGAGTCCTGCTTTGGCGGGGCAGGTAGATTGGGCACATTCCGCTCCCTGACTGGAAGGCACATGTTTCTCTAGCCCCCGGCGTGGAATGAACAGCTTTTTTTTCTTTCTCCCACTACCATCTGAAAACACCATCTGAAAACCTGAATCTTGAACGGCATCGCGCCTTGCCAAGTTGAAGGTCGTGACTGCCACGTGTCCAGCATCGCGGCGGTGATTTTTGTGGCCGTTTCGTATGTGTCGCAGTGATTTCTCTTTGGGGGCTGATCCATTTTCGGGGAACTCAAGTTCATCGCATTTCGGGCTTCCTTCTCACCATTGGACCGCAACATTCGCCGAGGTTGGCATCCTCTCGAGTGACTGGGTGACCACCTTCTTCGCCAAGAACTCCGGGCAAGTGCTCCAGGCGGATTCGATTCGAATTGGCGAAAAACTGGGGCGTAAGAATAAGGGGACCCCCCACACACAAATTGTCGTTTGCCTTTTGAGTTCCCTTGACCATCCTGAGACACACTCCTTGGTATTTCTCCCAATGTCCCCAAAATCCCCTTGAACTCGTGCCATCCATTTTTTGGCTTCTGCTTCATGAGACATCCCCTCGCCCAGTGCGACGAGCCGTGTGAGATGGATCTTAGTGGCTTCTGATCCGTGTTCGGATACGATTCGTATGGATTCCTCAGACCATGGTGGTTCCCCGCCATTGCCTGCCATCCCCCCAGCTTTTTATTCATGCTTCTGAGAAAGTGCTCTCAATCTCATCTCCCTCCATGACGCAGGCAAACACATGGCCATCCGATCTGCGTGCTAGTGTAGCAACAAGTGTCCAAAACAGCTGGCCCTGCGCACATCTTTCGTCAGGTACTCCAAAATGTGTCCGAACTCAAGTAAGGGGATGTCCAACACCCATAGTCACTCAGAGGATCCTACCCAGAAAAAATTGGAGTCTCTCGAGTCCTGCTTGGCGAAGGGTGCTCAGCAAGTGGTTAAAAAAAGGCACCACAGCTGTCTTTGACATAAGGATCGGTCAAACTTTTCGGTATGGCCCCCTTGAGGGACACGCAAAAGCTTGCTCAATTTGGCACAAAAGCCAGTCTCCTTAAATCTCCCACGTCCTCTTGGGGACATGAGCCCCAGAAACCCCTCCTACCGGTGGAAAGCTGATACCTCAGGATTGCTGATTGGAAGACTGCCTCATGGGAAGCGAGGTGTATCCAAACGTTCAGTACCCCCCCTCTCTTGTCTCAGTTGCCCACAGGACCCAGAGCTAAAAGGTTCACCTTTTGGCACCTGCATTCCGTGTTTCAGGTGGCCCAAGAGTTTGGGACCTTGGGCAACCTGTCGGTGGCGAGGGCGCTGATGCTGGAGAACTACGGCGCATCGACCAAGCGGTTTGGTCGGTCGCTGATGACAGCTGGCTATTTCTGAGGGTGGCACTCTACAAGAACATGAGGTGCAGGATTTCCTGGAATCTATGTCCAATCTATGTTCAATCTCCATCCTCCCATCTTCCCATGCTCCCATTGGCCGAAATCTTCTGTATAAGCCCGCCGAGAGGGCGGCTTTTTCAGCCTGACCCCGAGCCAGAGCTCGGGACCAATGCAGACTACGCCCCATTGCACTGGAAAAGACACGTCGCCCAGGCTGGAATCACGATCGGCAGAACCACGACTTCTGGCGCACTTACACGCGCCTCGGCCCTGAAGTACGGAAGCTCCGGTGTGTACGGACCAAGACGGACCGTTGTCGGTCCGTTGGGATATGTTTTCAACCCCGCAAGGCGGGGTAATCTGAGGGCAAGTGGCTTTTGCAACACAACACAGGTGTCATTTTGGTCTGCCTAAAAAAATCTGAGTGGGGTGCCATCTCCTTTTGCCCTGGTCGAAACGCCTTTACTCGGAGTTGCTTGGGTGGAGTTCCATCTACCACCCCAAGACCCTGGACCCCGACGCCTCCCACACACCCCGGAGACGAGAAAACCGCCGCTTTCGGCACCGCTTTTGCGAGGCGCGACGCGTTCTACGTGCGCACAGGAGACTGGAAGGCGCGGGTGCTGCGGCGCGGGGACGAAGTCTTCCGGAAGCTCAGCGCCGCCATTCCCAGCGCCTGAGGGCAAGTTAGGCTATGCCTGAGTTCCTGGACTCTGGTACCTTTTCAGTGCCGAGTTTCTGGATTCTGTCAAATTACTTTTGGGGAAGGTTGATGGCAACAGGCAACGGCCATTCTTTTGGGGAGATTTGGTTTTGTTCAATATGGATAAATCGATGGATTCACACCTCCCAGACGCTCACGATTTGATTTTGGGGCGTCGGGGTGTCGCGGGGCGTCGCGGGGCGTCAAGTGAATGATCGGGGCGCCGTTTCTGAGTTCACTCACTTCCCAGTTTGCACGAGGGGTTTGCAGTGCGCAAACAGCACCCCATCGCTAGCCTGCAAAATTGCGGCAGGGGTCTTTAAGGATTCTGAAGGAATGTCACCAGGACGTTTCGAAGGCTAGTCGTCTAACGCGTCGTGGGCCCAGCTGCGCGCTATGGATCAAGGCGCCACTGGTCAGGGCTATCTGCGGCATCAGATTTCCATGGGCTAGCTGCTGAGGACAACCCTGCATCATTGACATGTCAATGTCAGGCTTGATCAGGGAGCTGGGCCGGTTTTTGATGGTTCGCGTTTCCACATGCGCTTGTGTATTTGCTTGCCGTGGAACTCCAAACTCAGAAATGTTTTCCCCGCTCCCCTACAACCCCAAACTTTGTTAGAAGGCAACTGCGAACCGACAAAAGCTGTGCGAAGCAGCCATACGGGCAAGAAACCTGGAGGTGGCAATTACTGCGCTTTTGTCAGCCAACCTGACGGCCACGGCTGGACGCAACCCAGCCGGACCTTTGCTTGAGTACTGATGACGCCAGTTCAACCCACTGCCCTGCTGCGCGCACAATGACAGAGCAGGCTCAGCAAGCCCCAGCCGATCTGGCTCTAAGACTAGTCTCCACTTGGGCTTTCCAGCTCGCCTTTCCGAAGGGTTGTGGAGGCCTTCGACCTTCATGGGCAACGCTCTCTTATGAAAACATTGCGAAACATCAAACACCACCTGCTTTTGCTTCCTGTTGCAGGGGTGCATCGTCACGGGCCGAAAACAGGATGCTCACACCTGGTAAGAGTCCAAGAGAGGCCACAGCAAAGCCGAGGTGCCCACACATTTCAATCTGAAGCGGTTCAATCACAAAGTAGGAGCCGCCAGTGGCACTTGTAGCCTTTCAGTCCAATCCAACTTGACCCCCCACCGTTGCACGCAATCTGGTTGCAGAATGTCTACCTGCAGGGGCGCGCGCGTGAAAAACAAGGCGTGAAGCGGAATAGAGTGTTGGCGGCGTTTCTGAACCAGAACCCTCTCCAGCATTTACCACCAAAAACATGTTGAACTGTCAGACGCACAGCTCTTTGCATGTGAGCTGGGGGCTTGGACAAGCGGTCGCAAGCGCGATTCTTTGACTCTACCGCGTGTTGCTGCCCCATTGTTTTGAAGCGTTCAGCAGGTTTCCGTCTACCAACGCCCGTGTTAGTCAAATCATGTACGGGTTGGAGATTCTGTTTCTGCAAAGCCCTACAAAGGGCGACATCCTATGGCAACACGTCAAACATCATAGTCCCAAAGTCTCAAGTCAAACAGATCCTACCAAAGTTCATAAACTGCACTGGAGCTTCAAGTGCCCCAATAGGATCCAGCGGGTTGTGACGCGCGGGCTCGGGACCCCCCACACCAGAATCCGAGAGAATCCGACGGAATCCGACGGAATCCGACGGTCGGGGCGTCAAATCTCCTAGTTTCGACACCCCCTGACCCCAATCCGACGGAATCCGACGGAATTGCTTGGGGCGTTGGATCCCGTCAGATTTCGTCGGATTGGGGGGTGGAGGGGGTGTCGAAACTAAAAGCGCATCGACGCCCCAAGCGATTCCGTCGGATTCCGTCGGATTCGGGTCAGGGGGTGTCGAAACTAGGAGATTTGACGCCCCGAGCGTCGGATTCCGTCGGATTCCGTCGGATTCTGTCGGATTCTGGTGCTGGAGTTCCCGAGCCCGTTACAACCCGCTGGATCCTAGTGGGGCACTTGAAGCTCTAGTGCAGTTTATGAAAAAACTTTGGTAGGATCTGTTTGACTTGAGACTTTGGGACTATGATGTTTGACGTGTTGCCATAGGATGTCGCCCTTTGTAGAGCTTTGCAGAAACAGAATCTCCAACCCGTACATGCTTTGACTAACGCGGGCGTTGGTAGACGGAAACCTGCTGAACGCTTCAAAACAATGGGGCAGCAACACGCAGTAGAGTCAAAGAATCGCGCTTGCGACCGCTTGTCCAAGCCCCCAGCTCACATGCAAAGAGCTGTGCGTCTGACAGTTCAACATGTTTTTGGTGGTAAATGCTGGAGAGGGTTCTGGTTCAGAAACGCCGCCAACACTCTATTCCGCTTCACGCCTTGTTTTTCACGCGCGCGCCCCTGCAGGTAGACATTCTGCAACCAGATTGCGTGCAACGGTGGGGGGTCAAGTTGGATTGGACTGAAAAGGCTACAAGTGCCACTGGCGGCTCCTACTTTGTGATTGAACCGCTTCAGATTGAAATGTGTGGGCACCTCGGCTTTGCTGTGGCCTCTCTTGGACTCTTACCAGGTGTGAGCATCTTGTTTTCGACCCGTGATGATGCACCCCTGCAACAGGAAGCAAAAGCAGGTGGTGTTTGATGTTTCGCAATGTTTTTATAAGAGAGCGTTGCCCATGAAGGTCGAAGGCCTCCACAACCCTTCGGAAAGGCGAGCTGGAAAGCCCAAGTGGAGACTAGTCTTAGAGCCAGATCGGCTGGGGCTTGCTGAGCCTGCTCTGTCGAACCTGCCCTGCACAGTGATTGCACCTAGCAGCTACTGAAGCATTATCAACCTACGGGCCATCACCTTGGCCGTATGTCCGCTTCTGCGGCTTGGTCTGGTTGTGCTTCATAGCGCCGCTGAGCTGCTTCGCACTGCGTTTGTCTAGCAACTGCCCCAAGATTTACGGATTTAGGAGAGTTTGGCAAACCATTCAATTGCAGCCAGCAAAGGGTGAGAAACACAACCATCAAAAAACAAACCAGCTCCTTGATCAAGCCTCAACATTGACACGTCAATGATGCAGGGTTGTCCTCAGCAGTCAGCCCATGAAAACCGTGAAAACCTGATGTTCAGCAGATTCGACGAACTGGCCGTGCTGCATGCAAGTAGCTGCAGGGCCTGTGACGCGTTAGACAGAATCAACATAGACTTCAGCCTTCGGGGTGTCCTGGTGACACCCCCAAAAAATAGCGAAGACCCCTGACACCCCACAGTTTGGCATGCAAGCCACGGGGTGTGCTATGCACAGGGCCGGGGTGTGCATTGCACACCCCCTCGAGCATCTGGGCTGGCGGCGGGGCAGTGTTCGTCCTGTGCCTGACTCGCCGCCAAGTGACCACGGATAGAGCTCCGGTTTGCAGCGAGCTTCAGGAGTTACTCCCCTGCAGATGAGCATGGAAGCCCCCGAAAACCCATCCAGTTTTGGGGATTCTCGATTTTTTTGGGGGATCCAGTGTAATTTGCAGGGAGTTTCACGTTCGTTCCAGTGCGGCCAGAGAGAAAGGCCTGCCACGCATTCATCGCTTTCTGTGGTTTCAAAAGCGCCGTGCTTTCGAGGGGGGGGATGTGGGATGGCGCCAGCAGCCATCATGTTGAAAGTTGGCAAAACGTGTGTGTTGCCCGCTCTCAAGTTGACCACACATCCTGGTGTTGAAGCCGCACTATGGGGGGGTGTCGTGGCGTGGCGTAGCCTCGAGGCCATGGTTGCCTTTTGCGTTTATCCTCCGGGCTGTGAATCCGGGCTGTGAAGGCCAATGTTGGCTTGGGTGTTTCGGACCTGGACAAGATGTTTGTCGTCACTTTGACAACTGTCCTTCCGCCATCGGATAGAGCCGAGCCCCACTTTCTGATAGCTTACCCCAAAACTCCAAACCCTTGGACCAAATCGCCTAGTGCCAAATAGCACGGGCTTCCTGACGTTATCCCCCAAGCTTCCCCTTAAAAGACCGGTGTGGGGTAGATGTTTGCCCTTCGCTCCTTGACGCATGGTTGGATAGCAGGTTTCTAGACGACGGTGTAGGCAATCCGTTTTGATCTTTTGGCAAGGACCCTTGCTTGGAGTTGTGATTTTGAACATGTGCGTGTGCGTGTATGCGTCAGAAGGTCGCGGGTGAAGATGTTTGCAACCAAAGTCGGACTTTATGCTTAGAACTTAGCACTGCAAATCCTTGTGTGGCCCCGCAACACCACCCAGTGGGGAGTTTCTTGTTCCACATTTTTGTCTCAGGTATTGTGATCCAGGTGTGCTCCTATTGACCAACAGTTTCTGTCAATAATTCGACTTGTAAGCAGCTCCCGGCCCACATGATGACTGTACTAAGGCGCTCCCTCATTTTTACATTTGGTTGACTATTCTGATCAGTTGACTTCCTAATCATAGCCTTCTGTGGGACCTGGCAACCCCAACACGTGCTGCCACCTGCTTTCTCGACCCCCATGTTTCATGCTAGGCCTTTGCTCAGATGTGAACATGAAGCCGGCCCAACATCCAAGTTGGTTCCCTCCCTTTGGGTGCGCATCAAAAGAGGGACCTCCCCCACTCCCACCCCCAAAAAATAAACATAAATAACATAAGAATATGACAAACGGTGCTTGTCCATTTTGGTTTCTTTAACCAATTTAAAAGGGCATCAAAACACGGCAGCCCTGTTTGGACCCTCCACCAAGCACTGGTCTTCAACGGTTTTCGGCCAGAAATCCGCCCGAGGCCCCGGGGCAGGGCCCTCAGCAAACGGCTTCCACGCCGTTTTGAGAGAAGCGCCCTTGGGGAAAAGAAATCGATCCCCTTATGGGGTCCATTCATATGGGAGATGTGAGAGGAGAGGGAGGGGGAGAGGGGGAGGGAGGGGGGACTAGCGCCAGGATCTCTGCATTTCTGGTTTTAGTTTGGTAGCTAGATGGACTGCGCCGGGTTCAGCTTGGTTCTAAAGATTCGCCAGTGGATCAGAAGTGTTTACACAACAGTGG